TCCACACATTCATCCATCCATTCACTCGTTCACCCATCCATCCACCCATCCACCCATCCATCCATCCATCCACACATTCATCCATCCATTCACTCATTCATCCATTCACTCATTCATCCATCCATCCATTCACTCGTTCACCCATCTACCCATCCATCCAGGCATCCATCCATCCATCATCTACTCATTATTCATCCAGCTACCTATCTTTCCACCTGTCCATTCACTTGTCCAATCCATCCATCCACCATCCACTCATTCAAATAGCTATCTATCTGCCTATCCATCTGTCATCTATCTGTCCATCCATCCACCATACAACCAACCTTCTATTTATCCACCGTGACTCATCCAAACATCCGTCCATCCTCCCATCTACCCAGTGTTTCTATTCATCCAGCCAGTCAGCTGTCTGTCAAACTATTTATACTTTATTCATTCCTTTCATTTCTAATGTCTTCTCTCTTTTTTCCTTCCTTTCTTTCTCTCTCTCTGTCTCTCTCTCCGCCCCCGCTCCTTCCTTCCTTCCTTCTTATCACCAGTTCATTCACCCGGCTGTCTTTCCATCCATTTGTTCATTCACTCATTCATTTGCTCAGTCCCTCATCTTTATCCGTTTGCCTGTCCACTCATCCATCTATCCATCTACCTTCTTCTGCTGGCATCCCCCAGCTGCCCCTCCTGGGTCTTCTCCAAGCATCACCTTCATTTCTGAGCCTCCAGTGGCTTTCCAGGGACCTGGGAAGAGTTAAAGCTCCAGCTGAGGCATTCACCCTTTCTTTCCCACGAGCGAGGCCTGGCTGAAAGAGAGGAGAGTGGAGAGAGGCCCCTGGGGGGGTGGCCGTCTCAGTGATGCGTGCTATGCCCGGCTTAGCTGGGGACAGGGCGCCTCCAGCCCCCAGATCACCTTGTCTGGACCCCATCCTCCTGCCAGTGGGCATTTGTCTGGCATCTTCCTGTGGTTTGTGAGGCATTCTGCAAACCCAGGCCCCTAGAGTTCTGTGTCCAGCTTGACCCTGGTGGCTGTCACCTGTGGACTCCCTGCCTTATAAGGTCGAGTTCTCCCTCCCGGTCCTTCAGGGAGTCTGGGGACTTCCCGAAGCTTTTGGTAGTTTAGGGGAGGGCATGGTGCTTACAGTCTCACAGTCACCTCCGCTCCCAGCCTCTGCTCCCGTGGAACTAGTGCAGTTTATGATCCTTTCTCGGTCTGGGCCCTGCCGTTCCTAATGTGCCCTGAGTTGACCCAGACTTGGAAACCAGCCCCTTTCCTTGACTCTTTCCTTCATCAGCTACTCATCCGTTCATCCAGCTACCCACCTTACACCCATCCATCCACTTGTCCAGCCCATCCGTCCATCTTCACTCATTCAAATATCTATCCACCCATCTGTCCATCTGTCATCTGTCTGTCCAGGTATCCGCCCATGGAAACCCCTAAGAACCCCTCTCAGGCCTCTGTGTGTATCTGGAGGACAGTCTTGAAGTCTGGAGATGTCCTCTGGTCACCTGGTCCTCCTCTGTCCCCCTTGCTGATCACGGACTCATTTAGGCCCTTGAATGAAGCCCATTCACCATCTCTGCCCTTGCCTGGTCGGGAGCTGTCCCCTTTATTTATTCACTGAGTCACTGATTCGTTCAGTGAATGTTTCTCGAGCACCCACCACGTGCCAGGCAGTGGGGTTGGCTGTGGGGCTCCGGGGGTGAGCCAGACCAGATTCTGCCCCTGGTCAGTTTAGGCACTGAGAGGCCCTCACTGGCACCTTCAGTTTGGAGGCTGAGAGAGGTAATAAGCAAGTAAATAAGGACGTGAATCTACAATTCCAGTTGGGGGAGGTGCTGAGGTGGGAGAGAGGAGCTCATACAGGAAAGGTAGTCCAGGAGGGCTTCTTGGAGGAGCTGACATTTAAGCCTGAAGCTAAGGGATGAGAAGGAGCAGCCACACAGGATGAAGGTGGGGTGGAGGGTTGGAGGGGGGGTGTTCCCGGTGAAGGGAAGTGCACGTACAAGGGCCCGAGGCTGGAGAGGCTCGACGTGTCCAAGGAACGGGGCCTCGCAGTCGTCCACCCATGTCGTCCACCTGCTACTGGACAATCCACATATCCTCTGCTCAGAGATGGAAGCAGGCCCAGGGCAGTAAAGTGGCCCAGTGTCCCCATCCCTTCGAGGTCCTATCGGAAGCTGGTCACTCCGTGTCTCCCTTTCCCCTCCCTCAGACCCCTCCTTCAAGCCCTCATCCCCAGCCCTTCCCCAGACAGTCAGGGCTAATGGCTTTGGAGGGGCCGTGGAGGAACTGGGGTGTGGCTAAGTGCCTGAGGTCTTCAGAGACCCTGAAGGCTGCGTCGGTGAGGTCTGGGGGCGAGGGTGTTCTTCTCATTTTGTTTTTTGACTCCAAGGTCAGAGTTCAGGAGCAGGTATAATGGGGGCTGCCCAGGTGCCCTCCTCAGGGGCTGCACCAGTCTGTGCACCATCAGCAGAAGGGCACCTCTTTCGCCTTCCTGGCCCCCCCCCAGGAGGCCCTGCCCCACGGTGGAAAGTCTGAGGCCCGGGCAGAAGAAGGAGGGAGAGCGACTGTCCACTTCCCCTGGCGAGCCACCGGCTTTCTCTGCCCCTGTAGCCCCCGCCCACTGCCACAGCCTGCCCTGGCCTCAGTCCCCTGTCCCTGTGGCCCCGACTCCTCTCTGTCGTGGTTGCTCTTCCTCCCCTCCTCTCTCTCCTCCCTCCCAGTCTCTGCCTCTGTCTTTCTCCTCTCTATCCTCTTGTTCACGTAACAGATTCTTACTGCACCCCTATATGTGCCAGGGTCTGGGTGGGTGAGGACATGACAGAGAGGATTCCTGCCCTCATGGTGCCCCTGGGCTAGCGCTGCTCCCAGCTCTTTGTCTCTCAAAACCTAGCACACGGTAGGTGCCCAATTAATGTTTGTTGAATGACCGAATGAATGTCTGTTTTTTCCCTTACTTTCTCTCTCCATCGCTTCCCCTCCCCCAGAACTCTCTGTGTCGTGTCCTTTCTCCACCTGCCTCTGTAGCTCAGCATTTCTTCCACACACGTAAGGCTCTGGACACACAGTCAGCACTAAATAATACGAGCAATATTAGCTGACATTTATTGAGTGTTTACTATGTGGCAGGCCTTAAACTAAGCACCTATGTGCATGGGCTCATTTATCTCAAATGTTTATTGAAAGAATAAATCAATGAGTGAATGACTGAATAAATGAATGAGTTGCTTTATCTTTTAGTCTGGTGTTCCTCCTTTATTTTCTCACTATCTTTGTCTCTTTCAGTCTCTGGCTTAGTAAGTACTGGATAAGTGATAAATTGAAGGGTGGGTAGATGGATGGAGGGGTGGATGGATGGATAGATAGATGGATGGATGGATGAATGGATGGAGGGGTGGGTGGATGGATAGATGG